CAACAGTTTTATAAATGAAAATACTAAAGTAAATGATACTCTTGATGATATCAAAGAACCATTTATTTTTGTAAACACTGAAACTCCAGTTGACGAGTACAAAAAAGAAAGTAAAAAAAAGAAGAAAAAATTAACACAGCAGGATATTTCTCAAAGTGATCCAATTTTACACCCCTGTCCGATATGTCCTGCAGAATTATCAGCTGAAGACCTTAGAAAACATGCTCACACACACAAAACCTTAAAAAAATATTTAAACGTTAAAAATCGAGTCCCTGAAACAGTACAATTTTACGGCAAAAGAAAAGTGGGTAAATTAAATGTATCTACACACGAATGTACATATTGTGCTGAAACGTTCTCCGCTAAAGATCTGAGAATACACCTTTTAAAGCATAGAAACGTGCAGGAATATAAATGTGATAAATGTAGTAGAGTATTCAAAAAAATCAACCACTTAAATGTGCACAGGATTTCTCATTTCAAAGAGTTCCCGTATAATTGTGAGGTTTGCAGGAAGGGGTTTGTTAGTAAAAAAAACTACGAGTTCCACATGTTGACCCATTCGGATGTGGAATTGCCGTTCGAATGCGGTGATTGTTCCAAGCGGTTCTACAACCCTGAGCATTTGAACAGACACCGATTAATACACATAGAGAATGTGAGGTATTCCATGAAATACAAGGTCTGCAAGTGCAGGCTTTGTTTGGTGTCTTTCAAGGACAAAGAGTCTCGCGATAATCACGTGTGCACCCCCGTGACGCCCAAAGTAAACAAATACTTTTGCAAAACGTGCGAGCGCGGTTTCAAGTACAACTCTGAGCTGAACAACCACGTCAAACACACGCACGAAATGGTGAAAAGTCTGTGCCAGGTTTGCGGCGAGCACGTCTCCAACATATACAGCCACATGGTGAAGCATTCCAGCGAGAAGCCGCACGCGTGCGATCAGTGCGAGAAGCAGTTTCACACGAAAAGGCAGCTGAAGCAGCATCAACTGGTTCACTCCGGCTTGAAACCGTTCGTTTGCAGCGTGTGCGCCAAAGCGTTTAACAACATTTACAACTTGCAAGTGCACGAAAGGATCCACAAAGGCGACAGGTGTCATCTGTGTTCGATTTGCGGGAAAGGCTTTTTGGAGAAGTCCTATTTGAAAAAACACATGAATACTCACTAAGCTTTAATGGATGTTTATTGTGATAGTATTATTTAAAAAGAACCTGTGATACACTTGGAGAAAAAGCAGTACAGTCGGTCGCCCTATTTATGAACCTTGACTGATCCGAAACGAATGTAAGCAACCCAGATTACACGTGGATGTAATACTGGTTGCGTTATGAGTTTTTACTGTTTATGAAATTTGAAAGGTCCAATACCAATGTCTATGTGTTAACTCTTACTAATCTGGACCAAAACTGTATTCACTACACAGCAAACGGAAAAATATAGAACTGTATAGGATGACTCCGCGTTTGAATATTAAATCTTAAAGTTTTATCAGAACTGTATTGAATCGTGCTTTGTTTTTATATTTTTCGGCTCTATATATAGAGGTATACCTATGCACGACTATATTTAAAGTCAAACTCAATGGTGTCTTACAAGATACATTGTTTTGATTTTCTATATTCAACAGAGAGGTAGAAACTCGATCCTGTCGAATGGTGCAGTCATTTATGTCTCTAGAAATTATTAAAAAAGGGTTCAGTCCAATGGTGCAGCAACTTCGGATTTCTATTCTCTTCAGAGACATAGAAACTCAAGCTTTTCGAATTTTACTGGCAATGATTTTCGTTAATGTCCCCGAGAATTATACAAAAACAGCGCAATGCAATATCGCAACGGTTTCGACTTCTCTTTACTCTACCAAGTTATAGAAACTGGAGACTCTCTAATACTGTTCTAGTCAATATTTCTGAGAGTATAAAAAGAGGGTGTAATATTGCAAGAACTTTTGATCTTTTGATGGATGCAAGTAGTTTGAATTTTCTCATTTCTGCATATGATTTTGTTGAAAATAGTTCCTTTCTTTGGTTCCTTTGTCTGATTTTTATTTACCGTAACAACTCAGGTATGTAAAGCACAGAGGATATGAAGTATATTTATATATTATATAAAGTACCTATATTTGTATTAAAAATTTCAGAGGTTATGTTGAAAAAATGATCGATATGCTAAGTATTAAACTTTAATAATTTAGTAATGAGGTCTGTTGGTAGACCCTGCACTATCTCCACAGCAATATTTAAATCTGGTTGATGAAAAAGTACACACCAGTGCAGGTTATTGTAGCATCTACAAACAAATGAATTAATGGCCCATTGGCAATTATTCCTTTACGAAAAATATTCAACACAGCTTAAATTAATTAATAAAATGAAAAAAATCACAATCATGTCGTATACCTATAGTTTTTTTTAAGCATAAAATAATTTTTATATTAATACTAGTTCAAAAGTGAAATTACGACCTCTATACTGTGGAGAGTATTGAAACGCTCGACTGACGAATACAAATCTATACCGTGGGGAGATTTAGAAAACCATATTCAAACGTGGCGTCATCCTATACACTTCTATAATTTTCCGTTTGCTGTTTAGGGTGATTAAAAAATTGGTCACCTCTAGAAAGTGCTCACCAAATTTGAAAAAAGACCATATTTTATTATTAATCAATCATTTAATAAAATCATATTTTTGTATGAAATTTAATACTCTACAAAAAAGGACTGTTGTGTTTAAGATATTCAAGATTAGAGATGCAAAAAAACGGTCCGTTTTTTTGTTTTGTTTCAGGTTATTTTTAAAATAGTTTTTTTCATATTTTAGTTTTTTTTTCAAGATTAGTCCCATTTGCCTAATTTTCCAGTCCAGTTCATGGACTGAAATTAGCCACTAAATGACATTTAGTAAACGTAAATATAGTCTCGCGCTTTGCACGCGCCACCACCACCGAATTGACCAATAAGGGCCGCGCTATTTTTGATATGGTCCTAAAAAAAGTAACTACTTGTAATATATTTAATTCAGCGCTTGATTAAAAAAAAACAATAGCAAATTCTTGTAGAACATTTATTCATTGGCGGTTAAGTCAGAACATTCCGTGGACCAAAAAAGAAAGCCAAAAAAATTTCGAATTTTTTTATTACCTACGGTATTCGTTAGGATTGAGCATTGCACGTTTTTCATCTAAAAATCTCAAAACTAGATACTTCAAGCTTCAAATTGCTTTTTTTACGGCTCCAATACGACCCCTTTTAACAAGGATGCAGCTATCCGAAAATTCGCAAAAAAGTTGGAATATTTTTTTATCCTTTAATTTTTTCTATTAGTGTAGAAGTTTTACATTGGCAATTGGTTTCTTATGTGGAAACTACCAAATAATAAGAAATCAGATTTTTTATTCTCGGTCAAAACTTTCAATAATGAAAAATGTAATATATTCTACATTTCACTTTATTATTAATATACATTTTACTCAAAATTTCATTTTGAAAAATTACTCCATTTTTTTAAGATTGATGTTATTTATTGACAGAATATGCTTTATTGTAGCGGATTTGAAAAAAAAACAAAAAAAAAACGTTTTTTCTCTAGGCTTTTTTTCATGTTTTTTCACATCTGAAAAAACGCTTTTTTACATCTCTATTCAAGATAAACGTTTTGTAAAATATAATTATTGTCAAATAAGACATATTTTTTTTTAAATTTAACGCTCTACAAAAAAGGTCTGATGTGTCGTATCCGAATATCTTCTTAACGGTTAGAGTAATCAATTAAACACATCAGACCTTTTTTGTAAAGCATTAAATTAAAAAAATATATGTAATACTTATTTGACAATACAGTTATATATGTATGTATCAGTGGCGGCTCGTGGCAGTAAAATTTGTGAGTTCTGCCAGTGGGGTTTAAAAAAATGTGGCGCAGTTGGCATTTAATTAAATGGTACCTACAGATAATTAATTAAATCATAATTAAATCATAAACCACATTCATTCTTACAAAAGAATACAACAACAAACACAAAACACAAAAATACACAGAATTAACAGTCTTCTAGTTAAAATAACAAACGTGAACGCGAAGCGAAAAACAAACGACCGGGAAGTAGGAACTGTATGTTGGTGCAGCTCCGATTTGGCTAAAATTTCGCTATCTTAACCCAGGACCAAGAGCGGCGCGGAGCAAAATTACGGTATTGAAATGGGAGCCAGAACTCGAAAGTGGCCCAGCTTTGTTGTATTGTAAGCGTTAGAGACCTTTACCGGTCGTTTGGATGACTGTAGTGGCCAAGTACGGCGACACGGCAAATGTTTATAATAAACTTTTTATGCAGCCTTGCGTTTGAAATATTTATACACTGTCGCACATAAATATTAAATAATTAAAAAATTGGTCAAGTAATAAGAAAATTTTGGGAGTTCTGCAGCTCTGCAGCCCTTATACACTAGCCGCCCCTGATATATATAACTATATTGTCAAATAAGTATGACATATATATATATATATATATATATATATATATATAACAAGTGAACAAAGGTACATTTTTCCGCACGCTACTGCAATTGCACGAAAGTGCGGAAAAATTACTTTGCGCATGAACAATATTTTTTCTACTAGCGTACGCAAAGTTGAATAATAATGATAATTAAATTAATTTTTATTTTCTAGAGGTGCATAAAAACCAATTTTTCAGTGTCGGAAGTAAAAAAAATATTTGATTTTTTTTAATCACATTAGGGGCATTTCACGTCAGATTTTTAATGATTGTTTAATTATTATTTTTCAAAAACTACAGGTCAAAATTGATGAGCGACAGATGTCAAAAATGACAGTTGACAGGTGTCAAAAATGAACCATATAAAGGAAAAGAACAGGCATCTGCTATGTCATTATTGACAATTTAAAAAAGACTTTCCATTGTGTTTGATTTGGCGTGGAATGACCCCTTAACATTTGTTAGCCATAAGAACAGGATAAAAATACAAAGCATTTTTATATAAACATTTTTTTATTGACTCCCTTTACAATCACGTGTACAAATGTTTTATTTTTACTCTGGAGAGTCAAGTAGAAACCACATTGATCTGACCTTGGCAGCTTCCCTTCTGACGAACCTTTTTTTATCGTCAATGCAAGATCCCAACTTTTTAATAACAGGGTTTTTAAATTGCAGTAACTTAAAAACAGGGTATCTGCCCACATATTCTTGTAAACATCGAATTGCTGCCAATCTTACGTTCTAAAAATAAATAAGAAATATTTATATAATAATATGTATAAACAAAAACCACCACAGTGAAATGAAGTACTCAAAAAAATGTAATATAAGTGGTAGATTTTTCTAAAACAATGGGGTAGTCTGACCTATACTTTTTATGGTTTTATTCAAGGCGTTTTGTAATATTAAACATTTCTGTGAAATCAGAATTTCAATTGAGTTTACCGTCTTCGAGATATTTACAAAAAATATAAATTTTTATGACGTCACAAACCTCGCCATATGACCAACATTGTAAGATTTCTATTGGTTGAAAATTACCCTGTTGTCAAGTTGTCTTGTTAATGATTTCATTCGGTTATGTAAGAAAATACCCGAAGAGGTTAGGTACAAATATTGTCACTGTCAGTTGAGTGAAAGATGGTCACCAAATTCATTAAGTACCTATCTTCCTTATTACGAGGTATCATATTACTGTTTGATATTTTAGAGTCCAAGTTATATCTAAAAGAATATAAAGAACTAGGCATTATACTAATGAAATGCATTTACGACAAAATATGAATATAATAATAGGTACTTACTTTATTTGTTTAAAAGCTCCAATAGCTTCAATGTAACCAACCATTCCACAAGATTCCTCTGCTTTGGAGTCCGTAATAAATCACTTATCTAATATCAATTACAAATAACATAACAATAACATTGATTTTCAATAATCTAAATTAAAAAAAACATAACCCAAAAAAAAGATACGTCAAAAAATCAATTCTTCTTCTCAACTAAAATTATGGATCAAGTGGTTTTAAAACTAAAATATTCATATACTTACCATGGTAAGTATATGAAAATATTATAACGTGGCGCCATCTATCGTAAGAATCTTAAACTAAACACACTGGCAACCATAGAAAAAGCTGGCAACGTTGTCAATAGCCTAGTGACGTAATTAGGAGATTTTTTTTGTAAATATCTCGAAAACGGTAAACTCAATTGAAATTCCGATTTCACAGAAATGTTTAAAATTACAAAACGCCTTGAATAAAACCATAAAAAGTATAGGTCAGAAAAAAATTAACTACCCCATTCTTACCATAGATGCTTCAAAAGTGCTCAAATTTAAAATCCTTTCCAGGAAGTCTTCCATATTATTTTCCATGACTGTTTCCTTATTTATGATAAATAATTTAATGGTGTTTATTAATATGCAAAGTACGTCACTTTCTTGGCAATGTTCTAAGCACAAAATAATTATTTTTTTAATCTAAAACCCATATAAATTAACTTTAACAATACAATTAATAAAAAATACTACCTTCTCAAATTGCATAAGAATTACTTGTCTTGGTACAAACTCTATTAAGTAACCTATTGCGCACAAAAACGATATTTTTTCGTTGGTATAATTTGCGTTCAACTTATTGCTTATTGATACAAAAAACTTTTGTTTGTAAAATAAACTAAAAAAATATATTAACTTTTTATATTTAACACAAAATTTTTACTCACGATATATTACAGTAGCTATTCTTATTGAGAGATTCACAATTATCGTCAAGTACTATTCTAAAACCTTTGGCAGCGTTTGGACTTCTTTCTAAAAGCTGTATTAACTAAAAAAAATACACAAATATAAAAAATTAATAATAATTAATTAAATAATATTAAAACTTACCAGGTCTTCCCATTCTGCAAGAAAATGGGAATTTTTCATGACTAGGGATTTTGTAATTGAAAATGCTATATTAGTTACTGCATCAAAATCATTTGCTTTAATACACTCTCTACATTTACTTTTAATTTGCTCAAGATAACTCCCGATAATTTCATCTAAAAAATGTACAAAAATTAGCTCATATTTCTAAGACCAAACTAAGCAGGTAAGTTTACTTAAATCAGCATATTTTGGTTTAAAAAATATTTAGTCTAAAAAAACACATGAGGCTTAGACCACACTGCTGAAGTGAAACTGCTTTTGGACAATTTGGAATTATTAATAATCAATCCAATTTTAGTGCTATCAATTTTATTTATTTAATTTATTTATATCGTTTTCATCAGTATATGTGTCCGCAGCGCCATAAAATCTTCGAGATAATTTTTGACACCTGTTATTTTTCCACCTTTATGCCTGTTGTTAAATAATTAAAGTTTTCAATTACCCGGATTTCTAATAATCGGAGAGAAGAACGGTAGGTACGAGTTTAAAATTTTTATTTTGACAAATCATTTTCTAAAATAAATTTAAAAGTTTAAAATGCATTTTTGTGAGAGGATATAAATCATTTTACAAAATATAATTATTATATTTTATAAATCAGTTGAAATATTTTTACAAAAATGCATTTTAAACTATAAAACTGATTTTAATAAATAATTAGTCCAAATTTTAACTTTCAGACATGTAGGTACTGTTTTTATTTTTACAAATCATTTTCTAAAATAAATTTAAAAGTTTAAAATGCAGTTTTGTGAAAAGATATAAATCAATTTACAAAAAATAAATATTATATTTTATAAATCAGTTGAAATATTTTTACAAAAATGCATTTTGTAGTATAAAACTGATTTTATGAAATAATTAGTCAAAATTTTAACTTTTGGACATGTACTGTTTTTATTTTTACAAATCATTTTCTAAAATAAATTTAAAGTTTAAAATGAATTTTTGTGAAAAGATATAAATCATTTTACAAAAAAACAGTTGAAATATTTTTACAAAAATCCATTTTGAACTATAAAATTGATTTTATGAAATAATTAGTCAAAATTTTAACTTTTGAACTTGTACGGTTTTTATTTTGACAAATCATTTTCTAAAATAAATTAAAAAGTTTAAAATGCATTTTTGTGAAAAGATATAAATCATTTTACAAAAAATCAGTTGAAATATTTTTACAAAAATCCATTTTGAACTATAAAATTGATTTTATGAAATAATTAGTCAAAATTTTAACTTTTGGACTTGTACGGTTTTTATTTTGACAAATCATTTTCTTAAATAAATTAAAAAGCTTAAAATGCATTTTTGTGAAAAGATATAAATCATTTTACAAAATATCATTATTATATTTTATAAATCAGTTGAAATATTTTTAGAAAAATGCATTTTGAACTATAAAACTGATTTTATGAAATAATTAGTCAAAATTTTAACTTTTGGACTTGTACTGTTTTTATTTTGACAAATCATTTTCTAAAATAAATTAAAAAGTTTAAAATGCTTTTTTGTGAAAAGATATAAATTATTTTACAAAATATAATTATTATTTTATAAATCAGTCCAAAAATTTAACTTTTGGACATGTACTGGTTTTATTTTTACAAATCATTTTCTAAAATAAATTTAAAAGTTTAATATGCAGTTTTGTGAAGAGATATAAATCATTTTACAAAAAATTACTATAATATTTTATAAATCAGTTGAAATATTTTTACAAAAATGCATTTTGAACTATAAATTAATAAATTTAAGGTTTAAAATGAATTTTTGTGAAAAGATATAAATCATTTTACAAAATATCATTATTATATTTTATAAATCAGTTAAAATATTTTTACAAAAATCCATTTTGAACTATAAAATTGATTTTATGAAATAATTAGTCAAAATTTTAACTTTTGGACTTGTACTGTTTTTATTTTGACAAATCATTTTTGAAAATAAATTTAAAAGTTTAAAATGAATTTTTGTGAAAAGATTTAAATCGTTTTACAAAATGTAATTATTATATTTTATAAATCAGTTTAAATTTTTTACAAAAATCCATTTTGAACTTAAAAACTGATTTTATGAAATAATTAGTCAAAATTTTAACTTTTGGACTTGTACTGTTTATATTTTGACAAATCATTTCTAAAATAAATTAAAAAGTTTAAAATGCATTTTTGTGAAATAATTAGTAAAAATTTTAACTTTTGTACATTTTACAAAATATAATTATTATATTGTAATTAGGGATGCACCGGATCGGGTATTTTGCCGATCCGGCCGGAACCGGAATTTCGGCCGCTGGCCGGACCGGATCGCCGGAATTCCGGCCGGATCGGGACCTAAATTTAAAATGTATGTGCATACCTATTTTTATACGTAAAACATTGAAAATACTGAGGCTAATTTATTTTTACTTTTTTTTAACTAGCTACAGTATGTATGTTTATTACTATTAATTTTACCTAGATAGAAATTACTATTTATTTAAATATTAATTTTTAATTAGCGTTAACAAAATTAAAACAATTCTACTCATTCAATTGGAGAATAGCAGCCACCTGCCAATAATAAAAAAATTAAAAATAAGTCGGGGAACCACAGCCGCCGGTCTATCATAGGCAAGGAAACACGCACACCCTTCACTGTTGACCAATTACAAAATATATCTGGTCGAAAGTCGGGGCATCCCAGACGCAAAAGTCGGGGAATCACAGTTTCTCACTCTAATTTTTCATGTAAACTGTATACTTATCTTACATATAAGACTTATCCATGACAGGGAATTTGGCTGTTATTTTTGCTGTTAGAATTTTGCTGTTAATAATGTTTTCAGTTATTATTTATGTTTTGTAATTCTTGGAAAGAAAATATATTTTGTTAAAAAAAAAAATTATTTGTGATTAATTAACGACTTAACAATAGGTAAGTAGGCACCAATTTAAAAAAACTTTAAAATAATTTTCTTTATTTTTGCATATATTCTAATTTAAATTATATTAAAAATTTAAAACTTAAACATTTCCAAAAAGTTCCGAAAAATCCGACCGAAGCGATCCGGCCGGAACGGTAGTTCCGGCCAACTGGCCGGATCGGCCGGATTTAGTGGTACCGCCGGAATTCCGGTGCATCCCTAATTGTAATGTAAAATAATATTTTTAAATACTCGAGATTTGCTAAAATATTTTCCAAAATAAACGTCCGAAAAGAAGTTTCACTTCAAAAATTGGGGTATACTCGTGGACAATAGTAATTCCGTAGTAACTATGGTCCAATATTGTACTTACCATCTGGCGATTTATTAATGATGTTGGCCAATAAGTTGGAGGAATATTGCTGGATAAAACCTGAAGGATTTTTAAAATACACTTCAATTAAATCTGAAATAATGGTTTTTTCGTAGTGTAAATGTCCATCCCGTTTCAATCTGGTCAAAATGCCGTCCAGCAATAAAATATATACATTTTCCGACTTGTTTTTGACGCTTCGTATACTGCCCAGCAAATTACCCACGACAGTAATTTGCGTGTTACTCGACAGATTCCCGATCAAAATTCGCAGAATTTTGTTGATGACGCACAATAATTCGGCGTTTTCGTCGATGGTTTCGTTGGGAGTTAACGTTATTTCGATGAGGGAATCGAAAATGTTGTTATGTATGAGTTTGATGACCTCTGGGCTGTGTTCGTGTTCCTCCAAAAGCGTTTTCACGTAGGTTAGCGGTACGATATTTAAAGCGTTGTTTTTAAAAGCGTACAGTGTCAGTTTCTCAACGGTAACTTTGGTGAAATATTCGATATCGACGATTTTACACCAACTATCCAGGTACAAATCTAACGTGACGTCATTTGTGACCGCCAACTTGTCCAGTATTTGACTGGTGGTTTCCTCGGGGTATATTTCGCACAGAGTTTTGAAGCACTGCAAAACGCAGTCGCGAGATTTGAAGTCGGGTTTTAGCAGCAAAATCGCGAGATTTTCGTACGTAGTCCGTCTGGAATCCGGGGGTAAATATTTGGCGATTCTGGTGAGGCTTTCAAAACCTGCCCTTTTCAGTGTTAAATCTTCCTCGATGGAGGATTTAACGCAGACCACGACGATCTCGTGAGTTTCCTTTAAATGCGACATGGTGTTATAGTGTCCGTATGCTTGCATAAACCCCACCAGAGGGCCTAACAGTGAGGCTTTCTGCGCGGGAATAGTTGCGATGTTGTAGGAATTTGTAAGTATCGGAACGACGTTTTTTACCATGAAAACCGCAGATTCCTTGGAAGCTATCGCGACGTGAATCAACAACTTACAAGACACTTCGAAATATTTAGCGCCGGGTAGCAAATTGCCCGCCATCGTGTCAAAAATATCCCTTAGAATGTTGGTGAAAGTCGCCGAATCGCCTTTGGATAACTTTTGAATAAACGCGTTCAAAGTTTCAATGCAACTTTTTTCCAACTCTAGGTCTTTACAAGAGAGCAACTCTTTTTGTATCAAGGACCAAATTTCCGAGGAATGTTGCAGGTACGCGTCGATTTCAAAGTTTTGGCAACCCTCTTTCTAAGACAACATTAATGTATTAATTTCCTGAAACATGTTTAAAAAAAATCTTACCAGTAGCTCCAAAGAATCCAGTTTTGCTATCAGTAAGGACGATTCTAATTTTTCTATAGCCAATGGAATGCAATGTTCGGCAAATTCTGGTACTGCACAGAGGCATACACATAATTTTTTGGACAAATCTTCCCTTGTTACCTTCTAAAAGTATTTTATTTAAAATACATTAATAAATGCATCCTTAACTAAAGAGTTGACAGATGGAGCATGTTAGGTTGTTAAAAACATTGCGTGTACCCAGAGCTGCAAGCTCTCAGAAAACTCAGAAATCGTTTTAATGACTTAAGTCATTTCTCTAAAACTGACTTAAGACTTAAAATTTAAGTGATTTTTAAAATGATTTGTGACTTAAATATTTTTTTCAAAATAGAAATATCTTAAGTCATTAATAAAAGGCTTAAATCAGTATATACGATTTAAGTCATATAGAAACGATTTAAGTTAAAAAAAGATTTAAGTCTTTATAAAAGTCGGTAAATTATTTAAGTAATTTAAAAAGATTTAAGTGTTTTTAGAAAATATTTAAGTCAGATTTTTCATATATTTTTTTATATATTTTTAACAGCGGCATTTTCTTTTGAACTGCCAGGGGTTCACGCGGCAGCAGATCAAAAACTCCTTTAATTTCCTACCTACAATTGATACCGCTAGTGAATAAAAAAACCGCCGCGGTAAAGTTAGCTTTTCGGAACCGTTTGACGGCTACATTAAAAAATGTCCTATCTAAAATAAATGAAAAAAAGGGGAATTTATAATTTTGTTATTTTGTTTGCCAACATTCGTCGTGTTATGCGTGCGTAGTTAGGTCTAATTTGTGATTATTAGTGCAAAGTGGAAACAAACGATTAACAGGTAAGGACGAATAAATATTATAAAGACGTGTTTATATCATACAGGGTGTTTCGGTTTGTTTAAGTAAATAATTAATTGAACCTCCCATCATTACTCCCTTAAGGGAGGAATATTTTTTTTCTAAATGGATGTGGAACCAGCTAACAAAAGTTACCAAATCAACAAGTTATCAGTTTTTGAAATACAGCGATTTTAGAAAAATGCTTCAACTTTTATCTATTTTAACAAAGTTTGAATCTTTTACCGTTTAGAAGTTACCCATTTATGTATATAAAAAAGTAGCCTCCCTGTATGTACTCTACTAAAAAAGGTGGTTTATGTTTTTATTTTGATTGTCTACTATATACTCAAAAAATGTGTTTTAAGTTTTTATTTTGTTTGTAAGTGTTCTGAAAATAAATCGTTTTAAATTCTTAACATAGTGGTTTATTATCATCTGTATCTACAATAGATTAATAATATCAGTATCATTAATACCATAAAATTATTATTAACATTTAAAAAATCGTTGTATTGACTTAAGGGTAATTATTTTGATTTAAATCAAAATTTTTGATTCAAGTCATTTTATTGACTTAACTCTTAGATCACGATTTAAATAAAAAATATAGACTTAAGTCATAAAAACGACTTACTAAAGGAATTAAGTCATAAGATGATTTAAGAATTTGCGAAAATGACTTGACTTGAAAGAAAATGATTTAATTCAAAGACTTAATACTTAAATCATTTGAACTTTATCTTAGAATTGACTTAAGATTTAAATCATTTTGATTTTAGAATTGATTAAGACTTATGATTTAAGTCTTTTTAAAACTGACTTGTTGCAGCTCTGTGTACCTATATACAGGGTTTTCTTCTTAATTCTGAAGACCAAAAATAATTTATAATAACCTTTATCCTACCAAAAAGTGCGCCACTGATCGACTAGATTCTGTCAAAAATGTGGCCAAATTTTGTTTAAATTTACCTTAATTACAAAAATGACAAAAAATGACCAAATCAACAATGCAAATTGTTAATTTGGCGTTTTTATTAATTGTTTTTTTAATGAAGGTAAATTCAAACAAAATCTGGCAACTATTACAGAATCCAGTGCATTTCTTTCAAATTTAAGGTTGGGTTTGTGCTCAAATTGTAAATATCTTAACTAAGGAAAGTGCGTTTGGATTTATTTACACAAATTGTTTGTTTAAAGTTTAACCTGCGAACTTGTCTTAATTTCATCTGAGTAAACAGCAAGAAAAAACAGTTAAAAAAATTAATTTTGTGGTTATGGAGTTTTTAAAATAGGTAGGTACTAAATTTTCTAATCATTGCTTAAGCTAATAGCTGGATAAGTAAATAAATATAGAAGGGTATTAGAGCTTTAAGGGCATACAACTTTTGTATTTATTGTGTTTTTATTTATTTTTTGCAAGAAAAATTTTTAGTAACATTTTTTTACAACCGGCAATACGCAGCTACTTTGTTGGGTGGTATATATGTACTCACAGAACACAAGTATGTAACCAGTGGCGTATCACAACAAATATAAAATACATATTTTTTCTTTATTTTTGTGAAAATATTTTTCTGTTACAACTTATGTATGTCAAAAGTTATTCAGTATTTTAAATGAAAATTTTTAATATATAGGTATTACATTAATTATTAACACCCTGTACATATTTTTTTTATTTCTAGTTAAAATACCTACTACTATCACTTGTATACCTATAAGGCGCCGTTTGTGTCAAAATTAAAAGTGCAAAATAAACTTATTAAATAAGTTTATTTTGCTTTATAATTAATTATATGCATTATTTACCAAATTTTATGAAATTATTTTTTTATCAACTTTTTTTTATGAAATTATTTTTTTATGAAATTATTTTTTATCAACTTATTTTTTTACGAAATTATTTTTTATCAACTTATTTTTTTATGAACTTATTTTCCTATCAAAATATTTTTTTTTTAATAATTTTTTTATCAACCTATTTTATTATCAAATTATTTTCTTATCAAGTTTTTTTTGAAATTATATAAAAAATAATTTTATAAAGCAAAATTAGTTTATTTTGCTCTTTTAATTTTGACACAAACGCGCCTCATAATATATAGGTGTATATATATTATATACCTTTAGAAATGTTTTTTGGTCATTTGCTACCCAGAAAAAGTGGTCAAATACTTTTGGCCACGTTTAGGTCAAAATACCTGTCTGGGCACAGTTCAAATTGGCTCTACTATTTTTTAATTTTGATCTATTGTGCGAATTTCTTTGAATATTCTAATAAAAAACAATATCGCTTTTTTACCATTACTATGCTTTATCTATCTAGCCTTTAGTCTATGGTTATATTTATATAATCTATAATAAATTTAGAATCTTACGTTTGGATCCTGGGGTGGGGCTCTAAAATCGACAGGGAAATAACAGGCTAAAGCTTCAAACATGTCCTCACTTAAATGTCCTAGAGAAACCGTTTTTAAAAATGATGGAAGCCATTCGAACAAAAATAATAAGTTTTTAGGATCTCTCTCTGAATCAATGGCATTTAAAACTCCATACACGAAATCCATTCCCATACACTTTAATTCTAATAATAAAAATTTATATAGAACAATTATTCTTTTAAAATCAATATAAATTTACCATTTGCATGTTTTTCTAGTAGAGCTTTAAAAACACTAAATATAAGCATTCTATCTAGCTGTTGCTGCTGTTGGCATGCAATATTATTAAATATTGCAGATAAAATAGCTGTGGCAGACCCATCAGGAAAATTATTAAATCTGGTTAATGCCAGTATTCCTCGTAATGTAACTGGTATGACCTATAATAAATACTAATCCTCAAATATTTAAGAAAAACATAAAATAAACATGAATAAAATGAAAATTATTAAATAAAAAAATCATTGTCAGAAATAACTTAAAAACAAATCAAACTCAAATATTGAGGAAATGTAGCTAATGTAAGTAAAATTGCATAATTTTGCATTGCTTTATTATTACAATACATTTTAAGTGGAAAGACAATAAATACTTCATGCCTTCCCTTTAAACTTTGCAGTTTATTTGCTAGCCTAAAACAACACAGTAATATTACATCTTTTAAAACAATTCTTGTTTTATTCATTGCAAACAATCACAAAATGATTGAAAATTTAATTTTCATATTTTGAAAATAATATAACTATACAAATTCTGATCTACCTGCAAATACTATACTTACATCGTGCAGGTCTTTAAGACGATCTGCATAAAACTTGCAAATCAACCCGAGTTGTTGAGTATTCAAAGAATCACTTTTTATATTCTCGAGAACATGAGTTATGATTGCAATTCCCAACTTGCGTTTGCAAGGCATGGGATTTGTCAGCAGATATTCCAAGTTTTCGGTCAACATAAAAAGGTTGATTTTATTGGAATCAACATCTACAAATAAATATTCAAATTACATTGTATTTATTTTTTAGTAAAAAAAATTTACAAAACATTTATAGTTTACCTGCAATGAGCTTTAAACATATTTCTTTAAAATCTTCCGTATCCAAATCTAAACCCTCTCCTTGTTCAATGGAATGGATAATACTTTCCATATCCGAATTATCCATAATCATAATTTTTAGTTAAAGATAAACATAACCTATATTTAGTTTCCTTCTTCTTCTTCTTTAATTCAAAGTTTAAATTTTAGTGGAGGACCCCTGATTTTGTCAAGTGAGTATATAGTGTGTCGTATTCTGTTACCTGTTCTGAATTTATTAGAACAAAATTAGATATCATTTTATTACTAGGTGTAACAAAAACTATTAATTGTTAATTTTAGGGTAGGGTCCAGCAAATATAAGTGCACACTTTCTACTTTAAGCAGGTTACTGGATGAATTAATATTTAGCTTTGTTCGCGGAGCTCATCCGCGATCAATCTGCGGAAAAGGCGCATGCGCACTGGAATTCTTAAAATTTATTAATATTATTATTTTTAATACTCCCACCTTTAAAACGCCTATATAGTACATGTTTTCAAGATACTAAGTGATATTCTAAACACACATTGACAAGCTGTGGCTTTATGACGTTTTAGTCACGGGCTGAAGTTAGTTGACAGTTGTGAAATGTTATACAATTTTTAAAATAAAGTACCCTTGTTAATAGTTATTTACAGACGACACTAATTATCACGGAAACCTCGGAAGTATTCGGCCGTGTCCGGAGGGCAGCGAGAAGCGGCTGGCGGGAATTTTGATTTTAAATATTGTTTTGGTTCGGTCTTTATTTTTAGATCGTATAATTATATAGTCTTCAAAATAAGTGATGATTTATTAGGTTTATTAAGTAGGTATAATTAACAACAAACTTTTTTGAAGAATTTGTTAGATATAATAATAAATTACACAAGAAATATTAAAAACCGATAGATATTTGTATCGGAATGTATGGTGTTTCTATAGGGTGTATCGGTATGTATAGGACCCATAGTTGGAATTTATGGTTGTTCTATAGGGATATCCACCCTTGATTTATTTGCTATTGGTTTCAATGGGGAAATTAATACACATAAATGTAGAAATTAGTTTTTCCCCCATAGGACCCCATAGGATTTAATAAAATTTTGTCAAATGTTTGATGGTTGCTCTATACAGTGTGTCCGTAAAGTCCCGGAACATGTGATTATTTTGAAAACGGTATTTTTTTTTAAAAAACGCTGAAACACGTCAACTTTGGTATTTTTCTAGCAATATTTTAGCATATGTAGTTGTTCCAAAATCTGCCGCGTAGCGGCGCCCCAATCGAAGTAAGGTTTTTTTAAATTACAACCCTTAATTTTTGTTGCATTTTTGGATAGCTACTGTCGTCCTGAGTACATTGATATGCTACATGTGGAGGGTTACATAAGAAAATTTTTGAGAAAAGTAGGTTTTTGCCGCTGATTAAGATTTTGGTTTTGACGAACTTATTCGCTGTTACAAGGCACTATGCATTGCCAGTAAGGGATTATTTAAATCAGGTCTTTCCCAATCGCTGGATAGGTCAAAGGGGTCAAATTGAGTGGCCAGCGCGATCGCCCGATTTGAACCCTTTAGACTTCTTTTTATGGGGACCTCTTAAAAACCGCGTCTATGTAAACAGGCCTTAAAATTTGGACGACCTAAGACACCGCATTCAAGCCGAGATCCAGATGATATCACTCCATACCGCTGCAGCGGTACTGGCAAACGTACAACGCTCGTTTGTAGACAGGCTGTTCCATTTCCAAATAGTTTACAGTGGACACTTTGAGCAACTGCTCTGATTGGCTTTCCAAAAAACATTAAGCAACGCATAGATTGTGTAAGTTTGACAAAATACCAAAATCTCATTCGGCAGCAAAAATCTGATTTTCTCAAAAATTTTCTAATGTAACCCCCCAGATGTGGCACATCAATGTAATCAGGACAACGGTAGCTATCCAAAAATGCAACAAAAATAAAGGGTTGCAATTTAAAAAAAACTGACTTTGATTGTGGCGCCGCCACGTGGCAGATTTTGGAACAACTACATATGCTAAAATATTGCTAGAAAAATATCAAAGTTGGCGTGTTTCAGCGTTTTTTTTTTTAAAAATACCGTTTTCAAAATAATCACATGTTCCGGGACTTTACGGACACACTGTATATAGGGATATCCCTATATATCCTTCATTAAGTTATTTGCTATCGGTCTCAATAGGGAAAATGTAAAAGTTAACTTAATAATTATGGTGTGCCTATAGGTAATTTCCTATACATTTTCTATCGGGCCGTATCCGGAAAAAACCATGGACAAATGCACATATTGAATCCGGTAGCGCCCGATAGATTTTTTGTATAGGTCTCTATGGGGTATTTTAAGCAGGGAAGGCTGATTTGCATTCTCGTTTTAAATTTATATCAAAATCACTTGCTTTCCGATGTTTAAACGTTTTTTGTTATTTGTATTTCTAGGGACTTCAATCTATTTCATCTTTGATGGTGGAAAACAGAAATTGTTTTATTCTTTGCAGGAAAGTGACATGGTTAACGCAATCGAAATTTTGTTTTCACATAGATGTTTAAAATTAAAAAAAAACCCTTCTAATAAAACCAAGTATAGGTCAGAAAAATTTAACTACCCCATTGAAGATCAGCTTTAAAATTTTAAATATAGTACATAGATGAGCAGTAAAATAATTTTTGTTGTGATAAATTTAAATTAAGTTTTAAGAAATCCCCGATTTTAAATACAACCCATAAGAAGAAAATAAAATAAACTTATGGATGTTTTTTTTAAACCAAACATATCATTTAGGTATATACAATAATTGTTAGCTTACACATATGTGTACATATAATATATATATATATATATATATATATATATATAATATATTATATATATATATATATATATATATATATATATATATATATATATATATATATATATATATATATATATATATATATATATATATACAGGGTGTCCCACAATTAGTGCGACAAAATGAAGGTGTATTGTCTACAGACCCCCAGGAATTCCAGAAAATTGATTAAAAAATGTTTCCTTCATTATTTAAAAAGATACAGGGGAGTCATGTTTTCTTTGTATGGCAACATTGCCTCATAACAAAGTAATAGTTTAATTTTTAATCATCATGACAACAAACAACAATGTTAACATGATGATTAAGAATTAAACTATCCCCTTTTTTTGAGGCAATGTTGCCATATAAAGAAAATATGACTCCCCTGTATCTTTTTAAATAATGAAGGAAGAATTTTTTAAACAATTTTCTGGAATTCCTGGGGGTCTGTAGATAATACACCTTCATTTTGTCGCACTAATTGTGGGACACCCTGTATATTTATATATATATATTTTAATTTTAGAAATTACAGTTGATCTACTTTAATAAAACAAAACATAATATTAAAGTTCTTTATTTAAACTTAGTTTTAAAAAATCCGCAGTTTCGATTACAACCCATAAGAAGAAACCTATGGGTGTTTTTTTCTTTAAACCAAACTCATCAGTCAGGTAAAATACAATAATTGCTAGCTACACCTCTAGGTACATGATATGTACCTAAGTACATATTTATATATTTTAATTTTGCTAGTATTAACTAAAGATTACACTTTATACATCTACTTAAATAAAACCAAAACAAAACTACAAAATAAATATAAAAACCCTTAACCAATACTATTTTTTTCGCTTTGTTGGAAAGAATTCTTGCTTATCCTTTTTTCTTTTATGCACTACTGATCTATTTACCTTCTCCATTATTACATTAAATTGTCCCATACACCTTAAAAAAAAATACTGCTTAATTTTTGAAACATACATACATGGCAAAATGATTCCATTACTTTTTGTAATCATCATCATTTAAGGATCTTAAAAAGTTTGTTAATGTTTTAATTTCTGCCTCCCTCTTCACGTTTCCATCTATTGTAGATAAATCATGGCTTTCAGATGTTTTCTCTCTAACAAAGTTTTTATTTTCTTCATTATGCCCTTTTTCAATTTCTGATGACTTTTCCTCAGAAAGTAATTCAGCAACATCTCCTAAAACAGTTTTGCTTCCCAGCCTATGCCTAGCAATCATACTATTTTCATGTTTCTTCTTCATTACATTATGTTTCTTCATTAAATATGATACATCATTTCTATTCAGCATATTTATTCTTTGAATTTTCTCAGATTTTAATTTTCTGGCATCGGACATAATTCTGTCTATGGTTACACCACTACATAATTTTGTAACTATTTCAGTTTTTTCAAGTTTTGACAAGTGTTGACTTCTAATCTCCTCTTCATGGCCTACATGTGATTTCCAGAATTTTACAGTAATCTCTCCTACAATTAAAATGTTGATATTATCTCAAATAGATACATATTTTAGGGTTATACATAAGGAATAGTATTTATGTCTACTCATATACTTTTAAAGCAAAAGAATAATATTTTACCCTTAAATTTACCTGTTTGCCAAAGCTTTATATTTAAATGAGATGGGCATACTCCATACATTTTAATTGAACCACCAGCCTTCTCCGTTCTTTTGGAACAATTGCTGCCATGTCCTGAGGATAACAGAATATTTAAATATTTTGTAAAATAAAGTAATACTAAAAGGTGAACTTAATATTTTACCTATTGAATTACTACGATTGCAAGTGTAGGATTTTTCTAAATAATCATTAGATCTTTTTGATCTGGCCGATGCATAAGTTGTCTCAATTTTCTGTTGATCAAACCACAGTTCATAACTTTCTCTCGTTGCAAAATTATATGTACGCATTTCTATTTTTATTTTATGGTTTACCTCCAAATGTTTTTCCAGTTTACTATAAGTTCCACAGACTAACTTGTTTTCAGTACACAATGGGCAAATAATATGGGATTTCTTGGCATTGGTATCTATCTGATGGTTATGAATTTTTTTTAAATGTCTATTCTTTGCTGAAACACAAGAAAACTCCAAATTACAGAGTGGGCACGTTTTGCTCTGGGACTGCGAAGTTTGGGTTTCCATGTTTGATTGATTAAAATACAAATATCACTAACACACACTATACCTATAAGCACTTTATATAATCTATGCCTATAACACTATAAGTATATCCTAGCCTAGGATTCCTAGGATAAGTACACAACAGGGCCTAATAACACGGCAATCGCCAATAATTATTGTCAGACCTCTCTGGATTTTAAAACAAATTCACTAATAAAA